AGCAGCGCCGCCACGCGCTCCGACGAGCTCATTCCTGGGAAACGGGCAAGCACAAGTGTTGGCAAACACTGGCCCTGAGGCTACAGAGGGGCTGGGAGAGCAGCCTTAAACCTGGGAAGGCTTCAGACAAGCCCTGCACTGGGAGTTGCCTTGTGTCTGAAACCGAGCTCAGAGATAAGGGGTAGAACATCTGCTTGGCTATAGTGGCCACAGAGTAAATGAGGGTTTTCAAAATACCATTTGAAATCCAACTCAATACTGACATAAGCCCCATTTCTAAGGCATGCTGTCCTTGCAGAACTGGGGTGTTCTGTGAACATCAGCACTCTGCACAGCCAGGCCAGCCGTTCACCATCTCCCACTCATCGTTTCCCGTCCCCAAGGCCTTCACTGAGCACCCTACAGGGCACTGCTGCTCTAGGCCACACTCGCAGTATCCCCCTACAAGCAGTTTTTCTGTTCTTCCCCTAAAATGAGACAGCTCTAACCTCTTAATGAGTGTTAACAATCTTCATTCATGGGTTGGACTTGTTAGTTTCAAGAGCAGACTACATCTGGATGCAGTTTAACAGCTCTCCTCCTTCAGGACACCGAAAATACCACACGATGACCTACCCAATTTTTGTTCTATTAGCTTGAGGCTCTTCTCTTGTTCAGCGAGCTCCTGTTTCTTCTTTTGTGCTTCTGGAGTGTGAAGTGACTGCAGGTGCACGTCGAGGTCCTTGTTGACGGCGCTGAGCTTCACGGCTGCGGCGCGGTACTGCTGCAGGAGCTCTGCTTGGAGAACAACACCGTGAGCCCCCGCAGGGGACAGGAGGGGCCACTGGGGTTGGGAGGGGTGCAGGTGTTCCCTCACCCCCTGCCTGCCCCGGCTCCACTGCCCCCGGGAGCAGGAGGCAGCCCTGCACTGGGCCGGGAGCACCCAGCCACCCCGCCCCCAGCAGCCTCATCTCACAAGTGCCCCAAACTGACCCAGTTCAAGGGGCACTTTTCTCCCACACTCCAGACAGAAGAGCAGCAAGCCAGAACTGACACCACACCTGAAACTCAGCTCAGAACAAGCCTCGTGTGACAAGCTGCTCTCCTTTACATGGTACTCCACCTCTCTTGTCCTTTCTGTGGGTAGTAGCTACCCAAGTGAAATTCAAACCTGCTCCTTCCTTCCTCTTTTCCTTCAGAGAACTCCAGTTTAATTCCCACTGGGTACAGCCGAGTTCAAGAGCTGAACACAAGCTGGCAACAGATCCACAGCGTGTCCAGACCAGCATGCCCCAGGCTGTAGCTGGGTGATTACTGGGGTGCTCCTACATGGGGTGTACTTCTACTAGATGCCCAGGAAGAAGCTTCCCAGCCTCCTTCCCCCTCAGCTGGTCACTGGTAAGTCATCTGCTCACACATAACCCAGCTCCCACAGGCAGGTGGGTTGTTCTCTTGTTTTCCTCCCACCCCTCTCCACTGCACTTCTCTAGGAATACTGCCACAGAGAAACTTCATGTCCTTGCTTTTGAACAGGAAGAATTTAAGAACAACCTGATTTGTGACTCAGACTTTTCAACGCTCTCCAAGTCAGACCAGCTGTCCCCTGTTGGCAGCTGCCACCTTTGAACTGGATTTATAACCTTTATTCTGAAAGGCAGAGTCCAAGCACGTAACGAAACGTAAGTGGCCCCACAGGACACACGAGGTGTCTCCTTGTTGGGGAGGTAAGGGAGATGATGTTGTGCAGGACTCTGATGAGCACTGGAGCTTCCTACCACTGCTCCAGAGCTCACTCACACAGTTCTACACTGACCTATGCTGTCTCTGCAGAAGACCTGAAACTCGTTTTTCAAGGATGCTGGAATCCAACCAGCTCAAGCTTCTCATGCCTGCTCTTTGAATCTTTACCACTCTTGCTCTACTAATACAAAGAAAAAGGTGGAATATCTCATTATAACTATTTTTAATTTCAGAAAATTTGATATCTATAAGCTTTTAATGAAAGGGAAATTCATCAATAGGACATTGTACGGGTCGTATTCCCTCCAATAACTTTATGCTGAAGTGAAGTTTTCCTTTTCGTATTACATAAGAGAATAACAAACATTAGCAGGCAATATAATTTTGGAAGTTTTGTATTTTCATGACTTTATTAACCCACCTATCTGTCCAGAGAAAGTAGAGTAAAGTTTTGGGACGGGTGCTCCAAACACCATTCCTCTGAGTTTGTCCATTGGAGGTGCCTTGTTCTGAAGGCCGCCAAACTTCCCGTTGCTGCGGATCCTGTCCCCTTCCCTGGTGAGCAAGGTAGGGCAGTGGGTGATCTTCACAACCTGCCCGGGTACAGAACACACACTGCATCAGTGGCTCTGGGGAACACCTGCTTGCAGCAGTGCTGCTGTGGAGCTCTGTCTCTTTCACCTAAATGGGACTGTGTTTTAGGACCACTCCATTTCGTGGCTGCAGCTTTCCAGTACCCGAATGCACAAACTGAACAGTGCTGCTGAGGCTCAGGAAGAATGGGTTTGGTTTTTTTTTTTCCTCTGTCCTCAGATTTTAACAGGCCTCTGGAGGCAGAATTTAGATCTACACTGGGAAAAAGCTAATTATCCACAGATACCATGAAGCAATGGCAATGAGCATCAGTGTTGATAAGAAACAGGAGCACTTATGCAGTTATCTGATGAAGATCTTCCCTTTTTTCCTTTTTTTAGTATGCAAGATTTAAAGCATCTAAATCCCAAGGGATTTATTTCTTACAAAAGTATTAAATCAAGCCTCCATCTGGGTGGTGAAATGTAGCTGTGCTGGGTGCCTGGAATGAAGGGGATGAGAGCTGAGCAAGGGCAGGGACCCAGCCCTCGCCCCAGGAGCAGCCCCCCGTGGGCACCCCACTGCCCTGGCTCCTCCTGTCCTCTGGCAGGAAAAACCAGCTGATTGTGGGTGAAAGGAGCACACAGAGCCTCTGCAGCTGAAAAATGGCAGCTGCCTGCTCACCTGATGGACACCAAGATGGTTATACCCCGTGATGAAAAATAAAACACTAGTGTCAACCATCTGGTTTTGTCTAGGACTATAGCCATAGTTCTGAGCCACTGTGGAGACATTCAGTGCAGTCCTTGTTCCCAGGACACCAGCTATGGGCAGCCAACAAAAAGAGAATGGGATCAGAGAGGGAAAGAGCTGGTCAGGCCTGCAGCATGGAGCAGGGCAGTGGAACAGGCAGCCCAGTTTAGAGGCCACCAGATGCTCCTTACTGACTTGTGCTCTTAAGAACAACCCTGCAGTACAATTTCTTACACTTCTGGAGAGGAAGAAAAGAAGAAAAAAAAAAAGAAAATAATATCCAGTCCCAAGAGCTTAGTGTTTAGTTAGTCCAGTTCTACACAGAAACGTTTTGGTTGGAAGAGACCTTTAAGATCACTGAGTCCAACCCTTCCCCAGCACTGCCAGGTCCCCACTGCCCCGTGTCCCTCACCCCACATCAGTTTGTGGTGTTACCCGTGGAGCTGGGCAACAGGCTTGGTTTAACAATATCAAGACTAACTGAAACATACCTCTTTTCTGTAATGGTTGGCTGCATCCAGGTTATCAATGATGATAGTGTCACCCAGCAGCATCCCAAACACTGAAAAAAGTAATTTTTGGAACCATGAAATTTCTCTGCAACAAAACAACTTCAGTTTTGAAAAATCAATTCTGAGGTATCATTATTACCCCTCTTCAGGTAAGTGCAAGGGAAACAGCACGTGTGTGATCCCTTTCAATGAAAATTCATTCTGAGGTTGAGGTAAATAGGCAGCCTTCTGTTTTCTTCTTTGATAAAAAACATTCAGTGTTTAATTGCCTTAAGGCATTAACTGACTGTATTTCCACCAAAGCACTCTCTTGATATCTTACATTTATGAAGATACATATTAAAAAAATGGTCATTTATATGATTTCCTAAAACTTGGGATTTTATGAAGTGCTCCTTGTATTGTATTCTTAGTTTCTTAATAAGTTTCTTAATATCCAGTGGGGTTATCAAAGGGAAAAAAAAACATTCACAGGCTGATGATCCAACTGGGTTTAAGACTTTCCTTCTGCTAACAGAAGACTGTTCTGTGCAAAGCCCAACGTGGTTCAGGAGATCCAACAAGCAACAGGGCTGTTAAACCCCTCCAAGGGCTTTAAAAAGAAGAATTTACATGTTGAAGTCTCTGAATATCTAATTTTCCAAAAATAAACTGCACCAAAAATTGTTTTTGATTAACTGCAGAGAGGAGTATATCAACACTGGGAATTAAAATAAAAAACTTAGTGAACTAATTGCAGATTCCAAGCCTCCATATAGAGAAGGAGGTTCTACTTAATTTAAGAGTGTAGGAGAAGGTAGGTCTTGCTGCCTTGTTAGAGAGAGCAAGGGATGATGGCTCCTTAAAGCTTATTCTTACTGTAACTGTTTAAGCATAACAGGTATGGTCATGTGCAGTGTGGTCCAAGGGTACACAGAGCAGTTTGGGCTGGAAGGGACCTTAAAGGTCATCCAGTCCAACCCCCTGCAGGGACAGGGACATCCCCAGCTAGAGCAGGGTGCTCAGAGCCCCGGCCAACCTCCCCTGGGATGGTGCCAGGGATGGGGCACCACAAATCTCTGCATCACACACCTTTGAGAGGAACAGGACTGGAAAAACAGCCCAACAGAAGCAGTTACTTCTGCAGCATGAAAACATAAACCCACAACTGCCCATTTCTGCTTATGTGATCCTGGGAATAAGATATTGCTGCAGGAATCTAAAAAAAGAAAAAATCTCTAGGGTATGTATAGCAGAGAGAATGTAGAGAGGATGATGAGCAGCAGACAGGGGTGATCACAAGGAACTGGACTTTCCACAGCCGCCTGCACGCACCTCAGGCCAAATCCCTCCTCCCTCTGCCAGCAGCCCCCACGAGGGCTGGTGGAGCTGGGGCTCTGGGGGGGCTCCCTGCAGGTCACTGAAGGGGCTACGATGTGGGACACCCTGTATCTCACTTAGGAGACAAAAGGAGTTAGGAACAATCCCTTGAGTGCCGCTTACCTGTTTGACAGTGCTCTACGTTGTCTGGGAAGGTTAACAGGTCTCTGGCAAACACAGGGTTTCCTATGGGCCTGAAGAAGATTTTTCCATTTCTTAAGTGAGGTAAAGGCCTAGTTAAAGAAAGGAGAGAGGAAAAGAATAAGAAAAGTCATTTGTCCTTGTTTCATTATTGCTTCTGACAGACTAGTCTGAAATCTCAAACTGAACTGGATGCAGATTAACCCTTCCCCGTTAGGTGCTGAATGACCCCAACGTTCCCTCCAGTACCAGTTACATTAAAGATTAATAGATGCACTTATCCTAATGATTAAGTTTAGAATGAGACCTATAGCCAACAAATCTTCATGGCTAACTTCACAGACAAGTTTTAATATTTTACAAAAACTGGGATTTTGGACCTTACAAATACATTTGCACATCAGGTCTTTTCTAAAAGGCCATTTTGTGCCATCAGCAGATATCCTCTTAAGCAAATTCTTTTCAAGTATAGAATTATTATATTTTCATCTGCCTCCCAAGAAACAAAACCAATAGGATGAATTTCTATTAATAAAGATGATTTCAGGCAATGTACTCTGAAATGGGTTTTTAAAAAAAGTCAGAATTTGATCTGAAGCACTAGAATTTTAAAAAGTTCCTTCTCTAGAAAACGTGTAAAAATGAAGGGAAAACCGAAAGGCTAGATATCCAGGTGGTGTCACTGTCATGTTATACTCTGAATGTTCAACAGCAGTACAGACTACAAAAGCAGGTCAGACAGAAGCCAGCTGCAGTATGTCAGGCAGGAGCAGAGCTCCTACTGCCTTGTCTCTACCTGTTCCAGTCGGGGAGAGTCTTCTTGTAGATGGAGTCGAGGGGCAGCACCTGCTGCCGGCCCTGCGTCTCGTCGAAGATGGCGCGGGCGGCGCCGGTGCTGAGGGTCACCACGCAGTCCATGTCACTGGCCAGGTGCCAGGAGATCACCTTGGCAGCCTCGTTGTCCTCGATCTGGGCTAGGTGTGCAATCTGGACACTCGTGTCAGAACAGGAGCCCAGCTCCACCCCCACGCCAGCCACGGCCACCCCGCGGCTCGGCTGGACCCCTCAGCCCTGCTGGTGGCTCTGGCAGGGCCCCGGCCACCTCGGGGGCTGCAGAGGCCACCTCGGGGGCTGCAGTGGCCACCTCTGCTTGGCACGCCTCGAAAACTGCTCCCAGCTTTCATCACTCCCACTTCCCAGAACCCACACCACCCTGAGGGCTGCCCGAGAGAACTCACCTTGCCCAGCACGTCCGGGTTGCCCTTGGGGTAGTTCGGGAGGGTACAAGTTCTCCTGGGCTTTTTCATGACTCCTTCTTGGTCCAGCATCTTCTGCTTTATAAGAGAATCTACATACTGCAGCTGAGAATAAGAACCTAAAGTTAGCAAGCACTCCTTGTTGGGCCAAGCAGCAGAAGTAGTTCTTTACCTCTTGTCAACCAAGCTGCTCACAAAAACCACTCATTGCTCTGAGCCAGACTCGGTACCAGGGGCCCACTGCACATAAACAGTCTCAGAGGAGAGCAAATGGAGCCACGCTGCAATCCCAGCTACACACTTTTATAGTACTACTATTTTTTTTTTAAAAGACTTCAGTGAACTTTTCACAAAGAGCTTCCAGAGGTTGATTAGAGCCAAAGCTGAAAAAAGCTTTAAACAGCAGGAACAGACAACCACAGATGCACAGAAAGAAGCCATTACAGAAGGAGACTACGTCCAAGCCTGAAAAATTTATCCAGCAACTTGAGTATCATGATTGAGGAATGTATATGATTTCATTCTACTGATTTGTGATTAATGACTGTAACACATGTTTTTATTTGATCTGAAGACAATTGATTTTCTCCATAATTTCTTTTTCCAATGTGTTAGTAGTTTGAAAACTTCCTTAAAAACATTTCTTTAAAATACAGGTGGATCTTTATGGGAGATTAGCAGCGGGGCACATTGCCTTGAATCTTTCAACTTACTTTTACATCAGCTTTGGCAGTAATATATGAAAGTTCCTAATTCTCTGAAAAGAAGTGTTCTCCTTTGGTCTGCTTATGCCAGAACACATCCAGTGTATATTGATGAGCCTGCAAAAACCCAGTATGAAAACTAACAGCACCAGTAACACAACTGGTAACCTTAGCAAAAGCAAGCTCAGGATATAAAAGAGATGTAAAAGAGAAGTTTTGCTTCTTTCTCTAGCAGTTACATTGTCAGGGCTTTGGTAACAAGTGCCTGTGCCCATACCAGTGTGACTCACTTAGGTAATGACACCGATTTCATATGAGTAGAGTTATTGTTAAGATGTCACAGAGTTTAGTAAGAAAAAAGCCATACGACGTTTGTCTGTGGTAACTCAATCTGGTGCTTCTTCAGTTCATTCTTCAGGTGAGTTTCTCTGGTTTCAGCTTCTTTAACTTGACCTGAAACCAATAAAACCAACTGTAAGGGAACACGAGAAAGCAATGGAACAATTTTACAGAATTTTTCACAACTTTTCAGAATTATGCTACCCATAGCTGATCCTATCTGCTTCTTGGTTTCAGCACAGAATATCAGGATCTGGCCCCAATGATCTCGTGATCTGTCCAGCTTTTAAGCAGCTTCAGCAGCTGCCATCTCCTCCTGCTTCAGGAGGCAGTGGGGCAGTCCTCAGCTCAGCTGAGAACACCAGCAGTTTTTTCTTGTCAGCCTGGATTACCTCTCTGTGGGTTCTGTGGCAGGTGAAGCAGGGAGAGGGAAGTGAGGAGTGGCCACTGGCAACGTCCTCTTTTATCTCCTAGAGGGGGCACCACTTTGTGGACACTATTTCCTCAGCTCTCCTACCTGAACTAAAGCAAGTCTGAACAGAAATCAGTGAATAGGTGAGTCATGTTCTACTCTCTCTACTCAAGGTTTGTATTTGGGAATGTTATTTAAGTGTCAAATATAAAGTTGTGCTCCAACTTAAGAGATGTGCAAAAATCTGCAAATATGAAACAAAACTTTTTGCCTTCCACACTGGAATTCAGGACTTTGCATCCACAATGGACACATGCAGTAACAGGAGTACCAGGAAGGGAGCCCTGTACTAAAATGACAATGGTGGCAGCTTCCAATTCCAGCACACTTTGTTTACATCTGGTGATTACTTCACATAAACATTCAAAAGCCATACATTAAAAAAAAAACCTTCTGATCAATAGACAGAATGATTTAAGCCCCAGTGCAAAGAAAATGCTTCCTTCCTCTCTCCCATCCCCACCATCAGCTGCTCTGCATGCAGGGTTACACTGGCTGAAGAACATCCAGATAAAAGGCAGGTGTGACTTTTTGCAAGAGGATTATCTACAGTTCATTCCCTAAACTTGTTTTTGGAAAACTGCTGAACGGCCACATGGATGAGCATTCACACACCCCTTGCAAAGATGGGGGTGCAAGGCATGGATAAAACTGAATCTGACCACCAACTTCAGGGTTTTATTCCTCCTTCTGACAAAATCCTTCTGACAGCTCTCACACAGAAGTTCCAGCTCAAAGCGACACCCTCCATGGGTATGTCCATTGAAATGACCAGATGGGTCCCTGCCAGTGCAAAGCTGTGCTTCCTTCTGCCCCCCTCTGATTGACAGAGCTCTTCATTTCAACACCAGCTGTTCTCCCTCTCTCTGTATTCTCCAAGTTATTAAAGGGAAAAAAAACCAAACAACTAAAACCCGTTTAATTCCCAGGGAACTTGTTCATGCATTTGATTGAGCTTACATTTCAGTTCAGTCACAAGCTGATTATGAGCATCAAACCAATTCCTGTAGACACCTATGGACTGGGATAACTGGTCTCTCTCCTTTGTCAGTGTTGCCATCTGTTGCTGCTTCTTGAAATCTGCAGAAATAAACAGATGCATTTTGAGAAGAAAACACAGTCACATACCCAGCTGCTTTAAACATGAGCAAAACTCCATTCTGCTGTGAGACAGCTCAGAAAGACTCTGGACCTAACAAGAGTTGGTCCTGCAGCAACCCAAGCCCCTCAGGGAATGAAACCTACCGTTGTAGAACATGAAGGACAGGCAGTATGGTTCCAGGGGCTTCTGCAACGCTGGCAGATCAGGCTCAAACACAAGGATATATTCAGTGCTGTCTTTCCCAGGACTGTTTTCAGCCAGCACCAGATTCTAACAAAACAAACAAACCTACATAAGTTTATGCTCCCACTTGAGGTGACACACAAAACAAACATTCTTCAAACATCACATCTTCTACATGACCTAACGCATCATCTCTGATATCACTACAGTTTTAAGTACTGCCTTGAAAATACATTTTATATCTAATAAGGAAAAGTAAAATACAAAGCTTTAGCAGTAACTATTTTATTATTTAAGAATTAAGATTGTAATTTTACCTGTTTAAAGAGTCTTGCTATTTTTGGCTATATATTTTAGAGCCATCAGCTTATGAATGACTATTCCCTGCACTGTCCCATAGCAAGGTCTCCTCTGCTGCGCTTCATGCAGCGTGTGAACAGACAGAGCATTAAAAAAAAGACCCAAAGCATGTACACAGAGAAGGAAAAACAAATTATTCCCAGTGCTGAGGTAAAGTTACTGCTGTTACCATGGAAGTAGACAGCAGGTCCCGAATGAACGGACAGTATTTACCCCAACATGGGATAAACATCCCATTTCTCACCAATTCCACACCAAAAAGACAAACTAAATCCTTCACCTTTCTTTACAAACACAGGAAATATAAAAACCCAACATAATTAACAGTAAACAGAAATAAAATTAGTATAGGCAATATCTAAATGTGCTGTTACTTTGGGGAAGGTAACATGCATAAAATGAATAATGCTTATAATAAAACTCATACTGTTTCCACCTTTAACATGGAGAAATTGCTACTCAACTGGCCAAATCAAGAGAGAGGTGGCTGCAGCCTAAAAGAAGAGATAGATATGTAACCTTCAAAGATAGTCCTCATGGCTTTCAAAAATATTGCAGCTACATATTTCATCAGGAGAAGTCTGCAGTGGGAATATCTTTTCCTTTGAAAATTTGTACTAATAAAGAAATGAAACATTTCCTGCATTAAACAAGTTTAGCACCTCAGTGCAGGGGGATACATGTCAGCTTATCAGCTTCATTACATTGACCCTAATTGCACATAATTCTCACCGTGGAACAATTTCAAGATAAAAATCCCCCCCTAGTGCGTGTGTGTCCCCCCATTACTCATCAGAAGAAAAGCCCATTGCATCACAACCAGCAAATCCCTTCAGGGGAGTTCTGGGTGCTGTCTGAAGCCAGGGCACTGGGTATAGCCAGACCCCTGGGAAGTGCCCAGAGAGGGAGGGGATGGGGTTCACTGGCCTGGAGCTGCCCAGGAGCAGTGGAGGCGCTGGCGAAAGCAGCAGGATCTGAGCAGATCCCAGCCATGAGAAAGCAGAACACAACCACCCCCAACAAACCCAACAAGGCAGGAATATGTAAGCAGAAAGAAAAAGCATCTCCTTACAAAAAAAACAAACCAAAAAAACCCCCAACAACAAAAAAGTCTCAAACAAGGCAAACAAAATCCCTAAATGCACCCTCTCCCCAGCCCTTTACATTGGTTGTCAGTCGTCAGCTCAGTCACTGAAGCAAGACCGGAGTATTTAGGTCACAATGGCTCAAAGCAGGTTACTAGTACATGGAGATAAAAAAGTTGTTATTTCTGCACTGGTGAGGAGTGAGCAATTATGCAGTAATGGTGCCTGAACTGCCAGAGCCCACCCCACGGGGCTCTTATTCCCCTCAAGAGCACGAAGTCTTGAACATCTGTTCAAATTTCCACCACAGGTGTAGAAGCCAGATTTGTGGAGAAAACTGTTATTTTATTAGACCAGTGGCTACTTGTCTATACTTCTGCACCTTGTCCCACTGCCTGAGGAGCCTGCATCCATAAACCAATTCATCCACTACTCCCCAAACACGGCGGGGGAACACGAGGAACTCGGGGTGCACCATAAATCAGGTTTTTAGCATATTAATTTTACCCAATAGCTCTAGTTTCTCCATGCATTTAGTTTTTCTAGCTTGCTTTTCACACATATTTTGTCACTTTTCCTTACGGAGCAGAGTGGAGCAGGGCTGGACAAGAGTGTTCACTGAACAATGCCTGCCCAGGGGAGTGGCTGTTTCTGCCTCTGCCTGTTACCAGCAGAGTCACTCGTGCTGTGTCACTGTTCCATCTATGTAGCTCCATAGAAGCAGCTGATGTTCTGAACAGAACATCTGAGGAAGAAGTAATTTTTTAAAAAAATAAATACACCTATTTCACCACGTGAATAAACTATTGACTGAAGTTCTCTGAGGACTTTTAAGACATACTGTGACCATTCCACCCAAACTTGCAGCTTTACTCAGCTGGGTTTTCTTGGTGCATTTTGAGCAGTTTCTGGTTCGGTGCGCGTGGTCGTTTTGTGCCTTTTGTATTACACTTGTAACAACTGCTAGAAACCCAACTCGTGGGGTTTAAAAACTCAGTCTGTGTTTGTTGAGGAGACAGTGCCTGTGCTTGGGTGACTGCAACATGCAGTGCTTCCAGAGGTACGTGGGATGCTACAGCCAGAAACCAGCTCAAACAAGGCAGGAACAGGCAAGGGCACAAAGGACAGAGGTAAGGTGTGAAAAGAAGGGGTAGTTTTATCTTTTATCAGTGTGGACAGGGTGTCTGTTGGCAAAGTACAGATAAGCCCAGTTAGCCTGACAAAAGGTAAAGAGAACGGGGTAAAATTTAATATATATGAAGAGGACAGACTAAATGATCTTAAGAGATTACAGCCAGACAGCACTGGAAATAAAAATGTGAAATCCCACTCGTGTCAACGATTCAGCTACAAACTGGTGAGGTGCTGTTCACTCGTGAAGCTCCCCTGAGGGAAGGGCTGATCCCCTGAGCGGGTGCCAGGCAGGGCAGCGTGAGGAACGTCCTCTCCCTGCCCGTGCCCCCACAGCAGGTGCCCGGTGAGCTCTGTGGCGGGGGCACCGCCCGCCCGCGGCCCGGCCGCACTCACAATTTCC